GTACCTGTACCACGTATTCAATGTTAGTTGAATGAAGAATATATCAAGATCTCTCCCAGATGGGATGGGATTAGCTATTTGGGCGTTTTTTCAGATCCAATTCCTTGTCCTACTGGAGCTCCACCCGTGGGTGGCTGCATCAATGGCGCCTGCGCTACTGGCTATAGTTGTATCCAGAATCAGTGCTGTATTTCGCCGGTTACAAAGAATCCATTCGGTAAGGTTTTACCCTTACCATATTAGCTCTCCCAGATCCAACAAATTCACTCTTCAGTCTGTCCCAATGGTAACCAAGCTGCTGGCGGTTGCGTGAATGGCCAATGTGGTGCAGGATACACTTGCCAAAACGGTCTATGCTGCATGGGTACCACAGGCTCAGCAGTGAAATGTCTGGACGGTTCGGAAGCCATTGGCGCCTGCATCCCATCGTGCACTGGTGGTAACTGCGGAAACGTCCAAATCAGCTACTATTGTGGAACTGGCTATACCTGCACCACTGGCAACATCTGTTGTCCAATTTCAAGTGAGCTCAAACAAAAAAAACGAAAAAAGAGTGATTTGCTGGAAAGAAACCTCATCCATTTCAGGCTGCCCCAACGGTGGTGAACCTATTGGGCCACCAGTTAACGGTCTTTGCCCAGAAGGTTACAATTTGCAAGGAAATCAATGCTGTAGTAATGTGACAACCAGCAGATGTCCTGATGGAAGTGCAGGAACACCAACAGTGAACGGTCTTTGCCCTGCTGGCACCACACTTACTGGAACTGTTTGCTGCCCCGCAGCTGCAGCTGGTACTGGTGTGCTTGTGGTAGGCATATCTCTAAAATTACATTTTCAGCAATGGCAAAGTAGGGCGCAAAGGCTATAGGGGGGCTGAAATTTAGAGGAGTAACGAAAAAAGCACATTTTACCTTAAGATTATAACAATATTGACACTTGTAGCAGAGCACATTCAAGTTTTGATCGGTAGAGGACAATAGATGGGACAGTGATAATAGAAAGGCAGCTGAAACGGGAAATTAGGATGATTTTCTTAGAAAGACTAGCTGTTCAAGGAGCTGAAAGCTCATAACGCTTTTGTAAAAGAGCTACCGTACCATACTTTGTCGTTACTTACAAAAATTAATTATATAACTGCTAGATGAAGCAGATTCTAGCCTAACCTACTTTTTTGAACGAAAACACTCACTCTAATGAAATTTTAACTATAAACTCCTTTTACTAGTTCCAAAAATGGCATAAATTCCTAACGGCATTTGCCAAACGCTTACTTCTCAATCTAACGCCTCAAAATTAACGTAACAGCACGATTTCAGGGCGTTTGTGATGCACCTTCTATGGCCATAGGTCCATGTACACCAGCTGGATGTGGAGTCGGTTATGCTTGTGACAACAATCCGACAAACCCACAATGCTGTCCTGTGGTGAACTGGCGTGACCCACAGTTCCAAATTGGTCCCGCAGTCGCGGGAATGTGTCCTCTCGGTTATGTGGCCGTCTATCCGCCAAATACTGTTGAAGCCGATGGAACTAACCCGGGTGTTTGTGTGGATCTGCAAACTGGTCAGATTCATGTCGCT